AGCTCATGGGACAAATAACATACAGACATACGGATATTCTGACATCCCCAAAATGTTCTTATAATATTTAGATTTAATTAGAAGACACTATTTTAAAAAGTGCTTGATAAATGTATGTAAAACTGAATATACTTACAATAACTTCTATGGCTTTGATGCTTGATTATGTTGTTTTTTGAACAGATCAAGCTTGAGAAATAGGCTTTTATATCTATTTATATTGATATAAATGCTATCTTTACAACCCAGCCTACCTCTTCTATTTTTAATGCAGAAAAGCACACATTTGTTCAGAGCAAATATTTATCACATTAACAGGGATATTTTACAGGGATTGTCACAATATCCTGGTGTGTGTGTTTGTATTTCTTAATTTGGGACTGTGTAGGTAATTATTTCAAACTGCAGTGTTCTGAGTTAACTGATTTATGATAACTGTTTATAACAGTAAAATATCAGACTGCACAAACACATGGACTTAATTAATTATTCAGTCATTTGGCTTTTCCCTGTTTTCTGTAGCAGTTTACTTCAGTCTGTTGAAAACAGGCTTGTCATGGATCTCATTATCATGGGTCATTGTAGGCAAACTGGTGGGCCAGTTGCTCACACCATACTAAACAACTTAGGTAGTTTGCTTGGCAAGCTCATCAGGAATAAATCTGCAGGTTCCCCTGAGACTTGCTTTCCATCTTCAATGAATGATTGTCTAAGCCTTGTTTATCCTGGGTACAAAAGACAGCTGCTCAACAGCCTGTGTTCTTGAATGCTGGATGTCTTAGAAAATAAACATTTTTCAAAAAAACTTTAACAGGGTGTTTTGGGAATAGCAAAGGCTTGAACTTTCTCCCAAACCTTCATTTGAGCTGACTTTTGGTTTTGGAGGTTTTGGTGTTTCAACATCCCTGAGGAGCCCCATCAAGACATATTTAATTAGCTTGGAGGGACTGCATGGAATGGGTCTTTCCACACTCATCTCTTCTTGATTTTGGTTTTAGAATTGCTGTTGTATTCAGGTCAGGTGGATTAAATGAGCACTGAAAGGAATCAGATCAGAATAACTTTATCAGAATAAAGTGCTACAGTGCAACTAGCAAATTGAATAATTTCTGTGTAAAGTAGAGTTTGACTAAAGTGTATATGAAAATCATTTTAAGTTCTGCTTTGAGTTGTTTAAACTACCAAAATTATTTGTACTGAAGTGTAAATATTATTTCCAAAGGAAAAATGTAAACTTGGATTTATATTTTGACAATTAAACTGTCCTATACTTCTTTTGTTTGTTCGTTGTTATCTCTTGTGGAAATGGGAAATTCTTGAGAACATTTGAGCCCCGTTTTCTGTTTGCTCCTTAAAAAAAATCTTTAATTGTCCTTTTCAGCTGTTTGCTGTAAATGATGATCTGGGTATTGCTATAATTTCACAACAGTTTTCATCATTCATTTAACGTCATATAAACTCCATTTTAAAATATGTTACAATTTAAGTAGAATGAAATAATCAAGAGGTGTTTCGATAAAGGATGAGAGATTTGTAAGATCTGGAGTATCCAAAAAGACACTTTTCTCTTTGTTACACTTTTTATTGACTGGGTTTCGCTAACATTAATGAAAAAGAGGACAAAGCATTTGTCTCGACCTACTTTGTACAGGTGCAAGTAAAAAGTACTGATCCCCCCACTCCTCAGGACTAAGATTGCTAAAGCCAAACTGTATCTCAAATTGCATACCCATTTGGCCACTAAATACTTTTAGTTTATGTTTTCTCAAAATGTTTTTGATTACATTTGTATTATACTCCCTTATTAAACAGCACAGTATTTCAGTAATGATGAATGATTATTTGAGATTCAAATTCGGGGTATTCTATTTGTTATATATGTTCCTAGTATGCTCCCTTTTGTAATTGCCATTGTCAAGTACAGTATATGAATTGACAATCCACAGTGTTAAAATATGAAGATGTGAGGATTAAATTAAAAACAGCACATAGCTTGCGGTTAATTACCAAGACAGCGACAGGCTGGGTGTACTGTAACTGTAACTTAACAGCTGGGTATGTGACATGCATTTTTACTAGAACACATATCCGGTACTATTGCAATGTGGTTTAATACTTGAAAGCCAGTTTTGCAGGTCTTGCAGTAGATTCTTCATTTGTTCTCATTCTGACTAGGGAAATACATTCTTTAGAAACAATTTTCCAAAGGTAATTTCTGTAACAACCCTGTTTTCCTACCCATCTATCCATCCATCATTATTAAGCCACTTATCCCTGGCGAGGGGTCACTGCAAGTTGAAGGCACAGAGCTTGAGTGCGTGCACATCGTCTTCTCTCTGGACAAGAGGCCAGTCCATTGCAAGGGCACAAGGTCCTGGTGAAAGCGACAATTTAGAGTAGCCAATCAATCCAAGCCAGCCACCTTCGAGGAGGTGGGAAAACACTGCAGAGCCCAGAGAAAACCTGTATGAATACCAGGAGAACACGCAAACCCCACCACATAATCAAACCAAGAAAGTTGGAGCTGAGAGGCCACTGTACCATGCACCCACATATATATATATATGCTCGTACACATGTATGTTTATATATGTGTATCTTTTCCTGACTGTGCTGATAGCTACATCGTTATGAAGTCATATAATGTTTTGTAAATAGCATAAATAAATATTCCTAAAATACAGTTTAATATATAAATACAACTTCTTGGTCACATGTTGGTTTGCCACAAAGAAGCTGATTCTTCCAGCTGTGTCTTCAAAAAAAGAGGATTATATAGGTCAAACCTTCAGCCATGTCTTTTAGTACGTAAATCACTAGCAGTGACTGAACTGCCCTTTCATGCTGTTTGTTCCTGCATGTGGAACACATCTGTGTGAAATTGGAAGACTTAAAGGGCTTTAGGATGTTTGAACTGGATATAATGTGTTTCTTAAAAGTCTTTCACACATTAAAATTGTTTTTTTCTTATTTAGACACTGCATGCCTTAGCCTGGTCAGATTTATAAGCAAAGCTTCAGAATGTTGAAAAGCGTTTATTTTCTTTATCTGCATAAATCAGGATCTGCTGTAATTAAATTAGTATAGTTCATTTAGAGCTATAAGCACGTTACCTACTGTATATACTCAAGAGAAGAGTGACTTGAAAATGGAATTATGTCCAATTAATTCTGTATCAATATTGGAAAAAATGCCATCTTTGAAACAAAAATAATTTTTTGGGAAAATATCTTTATATGTCTTGTTTCTTATTACAAAATAATTGAAAGATACACTATCTCCATCAGACCTTTTCTTAATATTCATATGTCAAAGAAACAGCCTTGTGTTAATTACCTTTGGAATAATTGTTGGAGTTGAATCTGATAAGCTGGCAACAGTGGTACTAAAAACGCTGCATAACTCAGTTTTTTTTACAAGCATAATTAAATAATAACTGCTCTTAACTGTTATAATTGTTAGTGCACAGATGTTGTGCTTCTTGTTTGTTGTTTTTAACGTGTCAGGAATGTGTAAGAAAATACTATGATGTGAGTGCTAAGGGTAAAAGGTTACAATTTGTCCTTTTACAATATACCATTTAATGGGTTACGTGAAGTTTCAGTTAGAGAAGTGCACAGTATTCACTGAGGGCACCATACTGGGTAATACACTTGTTCAGCGAGGATCTGTCATGTTGAATCCTTGTCTCGGCTGCAATCCAGCTTGGATTCTCAGATCTTAACTGAAAACTTGACATGCAAAATCAAAGTGGGGCTGTCCAGTGTCTGCTTGTCAGGAGGAGTTAGGCTTTCGAGAGGTTTAGTGAACCTGCTGGAAAAAGGTTGCAGCTGGTTGGCTTACAACAAAGCTTTCAATTACATTACCTGCTGATTTATTCTTAGTGTTGATTCCTTCTGGCAATGCTGTGTGGAGAGAGACTTGTTGAACCATCTAGCCCACAGACATGCAAGACATTGGTAGCTATGATAGTGTATTATTGTTCCTTAAGTCATGAACTTGCATAATTACATTTGTGAAACTATATTGTCTCAGCAAACCACAAACTATTTAATAAACCTCTTTGTGCATACTGTACAAAAATATTTTTCCACATACCTCTTATATCTCTGTACATACTACTTAGACAACATTTTTACTACATAAAAGATCAGCAGTACAGATTCCCAGATCATTTTAATACAAATGCAGAGTATAGTTAGAGAAATCTGTGTGTTGTTGGCCTGAAGAGCTCCTTACTTTAGAATAGTATTGTGTGATTACTGTACAATGGTTTGCTACCTACTGTTATTTTGAAATGTATTTTAAAAATCTGTTATTTTAAAATTAAATATAATATACTGTTATTTTAACCATAAAATGTTTTTCAAAATAGATACATTTTCCTGCATGCATTATTGATTGCATAGCTTTCAAACTACAATCTGTCATACTGTTTACTGTGGCACAGTAATTGAGTGGGAAGTACTGTAGATGGCAGTTGACTGTATGAATAACTTGAACTGTTCTCTAGAAGAAAAGTTTTATTTGCCTCAAATGCACACGCATTTGAAATCAAATTAAATCTTAAAAGCAAATGCACACGCTTCATGGAGCCCACTAATAGGACTCTTCAAACCTCTCTTCTCAGTGCTCTGTGTCTTGTGGAAAAGGATACAAATTCCGCAGGGTTACTTGCATAAGCAAGTCTGGGAAGCCCATGCCAGATGAGAGCTGTGAACACCTGGCCAAGCCAAGCAAGCAGAGGAGGTGCAGAGGGGGAAGATGCCCAAAATGGAAAGCAGGAAGCTGGGGACAGGTAACGTCCAACTTTTACTTGTTCTTCCATCCAATCTTGAGCATGCATTTCCTATAATCTTGCACTACTGCTCAGAAGATTGAGTGATTCCATTAAAAAACACACAATTTTATCATTCTTTAAAATTATTGTGTTCCATGGCTTCTTATGTTGTAGCTTACAGTCATAAAGACATAGCTTTATTGGATTGAAATAAAAAGACATGTCTGCACCCGGATGTTTTTGATCTGCACTCTGTATGTCTATATTTTCCTGTTCTGACTGTCTGAGTTAATGCGTTGTGTAACACCATTTTAAGGTTTCTTATTAAATAACCTTAAGAACATTCTAAATGGTTGAATGGCTCTTGGGTGTGTTTGGTGCTTTTTTCTGGTTATACTTAGTTCTATATGACCTCATTATCATTGTGGTGAAACTTCCAACACGTTTGCAACACTTGTATTGTACATACCTTGTCACTGTATATGGCATTGCCTTCATTGCATTATATTTAAAGCAAGTTTTTAAAAGTAAGATGATGTGATGCATCTAAAGTAAATGGCATGAAAAAAGAACTTTCTCTTCCTTTTTGTGTGCATGCTAGCGATAGTGTTCTAAAGACTTTATACATGCAAGTCTCAAGACGGACCTGTTTTGTTTTATATAGTGTTCTGTCCCATATGGAACAATTCTGTTTTTTGTCATGTTCAGCAGCTGTAAGACATCTTTCTTCATGCTGTATGTGGTTTATGTTGATGTATTCATAATTGGTGAATGTTAAAGCACTTGGATATCTCAAGTCATCGTCTCTTCTCTTTGCCTTAGAAATCTGTGGTCGAAGCTTACTGGGGTAGCAGGCCTGTTGGTTTCCTTTCTTCGGGGCCTCAATGAGGTTAAATACTGTCAACAGCTTGCAGAGCATAGAATAGGAAACATCTGTCATAAGCTCTTTAGTGTGTCCTGCCAGAAAGAATCCACTTACCATGTCAGACCAGACAGTATTCCTTACATGTGACAAACATCTGGACCCAGGTACCTTTCTAGTGTTCTGTCTGGATCCAGACCATCTGTAGGTTATACCTTTGATGGTTATCTTAAGTGAGCTGTTGTGGCTCACGAAAACCTACTCCTGATATGGGGTAGCAGACCTCCAGAAAACATCAGATGTTGAAAATTAAATTTCTAGTGGTGACACTGCAGGGCAAGTTTCAGTACTTCAGCTCAGCGGGTTTTTTCGGTAATATGTTAGGAAGGCTTGTAGGGAAAAATGCTATCTCAAAGTAAGTCTATTTAAAACATCTCATCATCAAATTCATAGCACATTTTTCTGCATTGACTGATTTGGTTGTGGATGTGCTGTACCAGGGCAGTAACTTGCACGAACAATAAAATTAAAAGGTATTAGAGAGTTTTCTGTCATATGTCTAAATGAAAGAAAATATAAAGGCAAAATTTTGTAATACACTGAAGGCATTATGCTGTGTTATTTATAAAATGGTGATTCCACTAAAGCAGTGTATTATATCTTATTTATGTTGATTAGAAATCTAATGGAATGCTCCAGAAAACTACTTTAGTTTTTACCATGTGTTTTGCCCAACATGCAGCTGTTTTAGGAGAAAGGGATTTTTCTCTGTGCTTAAACAGCTTTCTTGACTGAAGACATTGTCTTGAGCACTGTAATGAAATAAATCAGAAGAGAGGTGGAAAGTGATTAGTAGTAATTGGTGTGTTGCAAGTTGGAGAAACACTGCCAGTTAAACAAATGACTAAGTGAAAATCTTTTGCCAGGCTGCAAGCTGCAAATTGTAAACCTAGTTCATAAGAGCAGCATTTCATTAAAAGAGTCAGTCAAACAGTAACATATATTTAGAATTTAACAGAGTTTGATTAACAGCTGCACCCTAGTTTACTAATCACAAAATCTTGAAAAGCTTGCTTTTGCTGGCATTAAGTTGCCAGTGAAAACATTGAAAAAAAAACAAACTATTGGCTCTTTAAAAGAAATTGGTATCACAATGTCATCATGACTTTTGGTTAAAAGAAATAACATTGCTTTCTTCAAGAGTATTTTCACTTGCATCTTGCACTCATTGCTACCTTCATTGTAACTCCTACATTGTTACATCTTGCAAACTGTAAAACACGTGGATCTGTTTACTTAAACAATGGACTGTTTTTTGCATTTAGGACTTAATAATGAAATATTAAATGTTGTTCTTTCTGCTAATCATTTGAAAAGGAACAGAGTTTGGAATTTAGAGTGCTAACAAAAAAGATCACTTTAACAGATTGATGTGAAGGAGGACTATAATACCTCACTGCTCTTAGTGCCTCTCCCACTGAAACACTGAAATCTTTTACCCTGAACTACAGATTTATCTGGAAAGAGATTAAAAACATCATTATATTGGAGATACTCAGTAGTGAAATTCTTTTTGCCGGCCTCCTTCTGATACTTAAACTTTTAATATTCTGTAGCATGTCGCACAGGCTTTTCTATGTAATGTAATTTTCTGAAGATGTCATGGAGAAGTTGTTGTTGCTGTAGGAATGTGCATAATTTCTAAAGAGGAAACATTTTTGTTTTTGATAGACTGAAGCATATCTGTTGATTGCTATTTACAGTATCCCAAAAATACCAATGTGGTGTTGTATTATTCACAATGCTGTAAAATGTTACATTTAAAAAAAAACATTACAGTTACATGTTACTTCTGTAAGTGATGACTGTATACAATTAATAATTATTGAGGGAAAATCATTTTAATTTGTATACAGATTACTTGAAAGTATATAACTTGTAAGTATAATATATCACTTTAACATCTAATACATTGGTTACAAGATTTACATTGCTAACATATTTGCAAGCCTTCAGAAACATTTAACAGAATTCATACTTAATTAGGATGGGTGAGAATATAAATTTGTGTAGTTAAAAAGTCTACATCCTTTATTTGCCTATTATTTATACACGTTTACTTGTGCTGTTTGTTTTGAGACTGAGTGATGTTTCCCAGATGTTAGCAGCCCTTATCTAACTTCATTTCACTCTTGTTGTCCTAACAGAGCATTCTGTTGCTCCTACGTGTATCTGGGCTTGTGTGTAGTTTCCTCCTTTAATTGCCCTTTTGATCATTGCAGGCTTTTGACAGAGGGGTGGGATGATAGTATTTCACGGTGTTCCTCTTTCATTTCACAAATATTAATGATGGAAACACGCCAGCACTGCCTCCCCTACTCATAGTGTCAGAAAAGTAATGAAATGCTGCGTGGTTTTAATCAACTTGGCTCTTTCTGCCTCACTGTTCACTCAGGTACATGTGGATTTGTGCTAACCTAGTGAAAAGCAAGTGCCATGTGAAAGGTTGTATTTCTTAATAAGTGGATACAGTATTCAGTGGTATGATGATTAAAAGGAATTAAGTGTGCATACATTTCTTTTAAAATGGTATATTTATTGTAAATATTTATAGTCTATACAAGTATTTGTAGATCTTTATAGTGAATTTATAAGAATTTATAGTGTAAGAAAGTAAAGTGATACATTCCCTCCAGGAATTCTACAGAATTCTCACTTGTATAATAGTAAGAAGCTCATGAAGAGTTTAGGTGTAACCTTCATTCTGGAATCTCTTCGGATGACATCAGAACATCATTAGTAGACATTACAAGAGATAGAACAAATGTAAATAGTCTAAACAATGCTAATAATGTCTAAATAGTGCTTACCGCCATATATTAAGTGTTGAAGACTCTTCATCTGGGTGAAGACATTTCTTACCTCATTGGCAGAGCTGGAAAAACAAAATAGAAAATTAATTTGAAGAAGACACAAATTGCTATCGGAGTACAACAGGTGCTAGTCTGTGATCAGACTGACTTCTGTTTGGATGTTTGCCCTCCAGCACATGGTCTCCCAGTGCCTCCCAGACAATCTGCTCTTTATTAGCCAGGGCGCAGGTGTATGGAAGGCAGAGTTTGTAATGTATATCAAGAGGACATCTTGAAAGAGGTGGAAAACAGGGGAAACCAGCTACCTCAAAGTGGCCCCTTCTTAAACACTGAAATGGTCTGCAGTTCTTTTTCATTTTGATCTACCTGCGCCCTTTCTATTCTCTGTCAGAAAAGACGAGACTAGCTTTTCACTGTGGTATTTGTAAATTAATTCGCAAATCAAAGAACTTACTTTCAGTGGTCATTATATTAGTGAGTTTTGTTCAGCATAAGTGTCATTTTAAAACAATGTAGTGAGTTTGGACAAAAGCTCTCTGAAGAAGCAGTGCATCAGTCTACAGTGGTTCAATACTCTCTCCTTTGTCTTCCAATGTGATGTCTAGTAACATTTTAGTTAAAAACTAGACTTTGTTCTCAAATTAATATATAAATAAAACATTGTCAGCTTATCACACTTATCATGCTTATCACCCAAGTATCTCTAAGTATTACAGATTTTCAGATATTAAAGCAGCTAGTATTGATCACTGTGCACTTTATAAAACAAGTGTTTTAACCATTTAAAGAAAAAAATACTGATTTTTGGACATGATATGTGCTTTATTTATTTGCAATATATCTAGAATTGATGAATGATAGTTGGATATTTCACAGACTTTGCAATCCCTGCATATGCTGTGCATTTTCATGAACACAGTTAACATAGAAACACAAAGGAAATGCAATTTTCAGATTTAGCAAGCTTCTTAGCTTCTTTAAACCAGTCCCAGTACAGTCCGCCTCCTAAAGAATCTGTATTTCTTGGGGAAAGAGACCAATCAAACCATTCTAAATGGTCATCAATAATATCCTCAATGAACATATTACAAATAACATTCCCAAGAACATTATTATCAATCAGTTCTCCCCCCAAAAATTGGAAGCTTCAGGGAACAGCTGCGACTATATAAATTCATATTCCAAAATCCAAATTCAAATTCTGCAATAGAGTTTGGAATCTGCTGCCCTTGCGACAGGAGATACCCATGAAAAAGATGGTGCAGCGAACCCGCTGTGCCAACCTTCTGCATGGGTGCTCAGTGAAGTCTTACCTTTTCTCCTGGTGCAGTGCTCGGTGTCCTGTGGGAGAGGCGTTCAGCAGCGAGACGTTTTCTGCCAGAATGGGACCCAGAGGAGCTCACGGGAGTCGGAGTGCTCCCTTTCTGCCCAGCCACCGGCCACTCAGCCTTGCGAGGCCGGCGCCTGCCCCTCTGTGTACAGGTGGAGGGAGGGGGAGTGGGAAGACGTAAGTAAGCGAGCTCTGTGTGTGAGACAGATCATGCGCTCCTCAGAAGCACGAAGCCCCTGTGGTTTCCTGACGCACAGCAGTGTCGTGTTGCTGATTAGGCGAGGTGTGAGCTGAAAAAGCTCGGACCACAGCGCTGCTGGCTGCGTTTTGTCAGATAGCCAGGGGAACTCGAGATTTTGCAGCTCTATTGAGGGGGGAGGGTGGTCTGCTCGTGATGGAAATCAGATGACAGTTTTTTTTTCTTGCAATCAATTTAACTCTTCATTCATGGTAATGTCAGACTGCAAAGAGGTACTTGATTGACATAAAGTGTTAAATTTCATTTTTATAAATCTGTGCAAAATGGGCATAAACTTTATTCAGGCATGCAGTAATATTGCTCTTTATTTTAGCAAAGGAATTGTTAAGTATTAATCTACGCATAGATATTGAAACCTGTCAGAATAAATTTCCGCCTATACAGGTATGTAATACAGCCATACATTTTACGTTAGCATTTGCACTTTTTAATTGAAATATTCAGTTACAAAAATATTTGGATATGCTAAATTACTACAATATAATTCCATTTTTAAAATTTGATTCAGTTGTATTTATATTGCTGTAATGGGCAGGGCTAGAGTGAGCTCAAGTTTTAAAGAAGCTTTACTGCTGAGTACAGCTTAAACATTGAAAAATGGTATATTTATAAAACAAAATCCAAAAATTCTTTCACAAAAGGTTTTATTGAAATTGCTTTTGGAGGAAAACTGTGCAGGAAATCCTAAAACTAGGTCACAGAACAGCATGAAATTACAGTACTTATAAAAAAAAGTCTAATTAGTCCAAAAACCTGCTTCGAAATACCATTTCCATGCCCTCATTACTACGTTCAACAGCTGGAGGTAATTATAGAACCCCTTTCTGTTGCTGATGTTAGATGGGTCATGTTGCTTTGCTAAAGGTTTGAAAGACTCCTCGCTGCACAAGGTTCTGAAAAATTACAGCATTGACAGACGTGATTCCAAGAAACAGGTTATTGCATTCTTGCCTGTTAATTACTCTTTACTGAGGCAGCAGCAGCTGTGATGCAGTGCAGATATACGCTAGATGTGCTCTGCTTTCTTCAGAAAAAAAAGTCTTAATGTTTCAAAATATTTGCACAACAAACATAATTAATTGTTTGGTTATAATTCTTAGTTATAAGTCGATGCTTGCTAACTGCACTGCACTGGGATAATTTAAACAGAGATAGGAGAACTTTTTGTTTGGAGTCTTAAAATATATTACAAATCATATGGGGAAAGAACAACAAAGACAAATACCCGATGTTGTGTTGTGAAATAATATCAATTCAAAGTTAACTGGGTCTGCCATTAACAAGATTTAGAGTCCATTTTACATACTGAACTAAACTCCAGTGTAAGTAAATCCCAATTCTTAACAACTCACAAACCCTAGTTGTACAACTTACATTAAACCTGAGGACATTTAAACAATGATAACACATATTGGAATGTCAGAAAAACTGGTGCTTTAAAGTACTACTGAACAGCTTGAGTATAAGCAGTCTGGCTGAAGTTTACTGTAAGTGTTAAGTGCTACTGACGCAAAGCGTTTATGCCTCTGGAGTCTGTTTTGACATTATAAATGAGGTTTAATTTGGAATTTTAGTTTCATGTAAAGTGCATGTAATAAAGTAAATGTTCTTTATACCTTAGCTAACTATGCACCACAGATGTCATCAATGACGTGCAGTTGTGATATAGAAAGGGAAATTCAGAGATCAGACATAGATCAGACTTTGACTTTAACCCTTTATGGTCCACATTTTTGTTTTAGTGTAAAAAAGTAAATGCTCATACAGTATATTAAATGCTTCCTTTAATAGAAAAATACAGTAGCTCAGAATAGTTTTCCTTGTTGTAAACTTGTCCCAACAAGTCTCTCTGCACCCATGCTGAATGTAACTACTGTGGATATTTTGATGTTAATAGGATTAGATACATAACATTATCAGATTTATACATTTTACATAGGTGATGAGTGTGATTCAGCGATGAACAAGAGTTTGATGAGAAAAATGTTTTATTTTTGTGTGATGAAACTAAGCAAAAAGTTCCTTTATTATTCATACAAAGGAAGACCTTCTAGAATGTGCACCTTGAATGTTGTCTAGATTAGTTTTTTTAGTGGTGCGCAATGCACATCTGGCTCTTTGGGAGATGAACTCTGGGCTTAGAATCTGGGCTTCAGGCTTGATGGGACTGCAGATGCTTTCTATTGTTAGGGTTTACAACTCCCAACAGGAGGAAAAGGGTTAAACAAAAGAAACAACAAGTATTTGTGCTGTACCTCTTTTTAAATTGAAGAGATGTCTTTTGTATATTATGCAACCAGTGCACTGAAATAATATATCACTGGACTGCTCCAATTCACTCTTAACTAGCCTTTTTTCTGTTTTATTTAATCTATATACCTAAATCCCCTGATTTAGGATTAGGGCTGTATGTAACAATGACAAAATCTGGGCCTGTAAAACAAGGCAGAAATCTATAGAATTTTAGGATTTATATATGAAATCTATCTCTTCAGTATTTTATCACATTATGGTTTGAATGGTTGTGGCCTCAAGAAACAGATAAGAAAACATCTGTACTCTTATCAGATAATTTAGGCAGACAGAGAGGGATTAGAAACCTTGTTGATCCATTTACCCTGTGGTTCTCTTGCAGTGCAGTAAAAGCTGTGGCTCTGGAAGCAGACGACGACAAGTGTTCTGTGTAGATCAGGCTGAAGAGGAGGCACACGACATGCACTGCAGTTCACAAGCGAAGCCTCTGGACATTAAAACCTGTAACACACACCCCTGCGAGTACATCTGGATTACTGGGGAGTGGTCTGAGGTGGGTAATCTCAACAATGCTTTAATGTGTTTCCAAGTGAAATTTATGGTCTTGAGCTAATGGTAAAATGTATTCTGTGCATGAAACGTGGACAGGCATTCAAGATGTTTTGAAATATTATAATTAATTTATAGTCGATGCTTTTATTCACTTGCATATAAACAAGATTTGCATTAAAAATTGTATTTTCTACAGTAGTTAACTGAAATAGTC